TACACGATGGAATATTACGCAGCCAAAAAAAAAAAAAAAGAACAAAATTTTGGACTTTGTAGCAACGTGGCTGGATTTAAAGTTTATCATACTCAGTGATCTATCACAGAAACAAATAACTGAGTACCACAAGTTCTCACTCATAAGCGGTCCCTGAACATTTATCATAATACTATAAGAAAGGGATTGGCAGTAGCGGGAAACTGCTGGTGAGGGGAGAGCATATAACATCAATAAGGGTACCTGATCTCAAACCAGACGAAGTGGGGACCAGTGGGAGGCCCAAACTTTACCTCTACAATGACCACTTATGTACCTAATCCTGAATTGTACCCCACATCTTTAAAATTAAAAAGAAGCAAAAAAGACTCAGTGACTTTGAATGAAGAACTACAGAAATATGAAGCCGTCGTGTTAGTTAGAATCTTTCCTTACTCAATAAGAGCCCACCCAATGAGTTAATGTAGACACAGTGTGTCTTTAGGTGTTTAAAGGAAATTTTCCCCAAGACATTAGAAACACAAAATTGCAAAGTTCTGGAAGGAACTGATTTGTTCTGTGCTTCCTTTATAGACTGCTGGCCAGAACATGAGATTCAGTCAGTGGCTATGTGAATACTAGTTGTTAGAGTAGGCTCTCTGTATGTAGTAGCTATGGGAGGCATAATTGAGTGGGTCAGAGTAATCAAAAAGGGTGTGAATTAGAGAGTGTCTTTCCTCTATCAGAGAACATAAGACTCTGGTATCAGAGAGTCTTTCAAATTCTAGTTCAGCCACTTACTAGCTTGGTGACTTGGGGGCAGATAAGTTAACTGCTCTAACTTATCATCTTTGTCATCTTTAAATTGAATTTATAACATTTACCTCATAAAGGTGTGTGGTGAGCATTAAATGCCAGAAATGGATATTCTATCTTTTAGTAATGTGATAGTTAAATGAGCATCATTCATAAATTAAAACAGTCAGCATAATGCCTGGGATAAAGTTGGCATTCAGCAAGTATTAATTCCCTTTCCCTAGATGTTTACAAAGCTAGATTTTCTGCACAAAGGGATGAATCTTCTGTGCATATGAAAGGCTAAAATTCTACACAGTCCTTCACTGGGTTAAAATGAATCAAATGGGGTTGGGGGACTGTAGTCACACATGAATCAAAGGACACAATGCCTATCATGTAATGGATGGCCAATAGATAATAGTTGCTATTTATATTTATAATAACTATTAAGCAAGTCAGTGGGAAAAAACGACAAGAAAGCTTTGTGAGAGTACTGAGAAAGAAGAGAAAATGAGCTTCCATGTCATATTAAGGATATTCATTTATTAAAACACATTCCAACTACATTTTTTAAATAACGCGTTTTGTACCATCAATTACAACTTAAAGAAGAGAATTGTGGCTTTCAGGGAAGGGGTCACAATGACCCTTTTTCTCAAAGTACTTATTAAAGTGAAAAGGCCCAAGAAGTTACTGGATATCATTTTAAAGGAACATTAGTAATAGGAAAGGAAATTGTATCTCGTTCAAATTCTATTTTGTGTCCATACCTGGAAAGCTGGGTACAGTTGCAATGATTGTCCTCCACTAAAGAGAGAATAGAGCTGGAGAAGATTTGGAAAGGGCATGCTGGAGGGATTACGGGTCTAGATGGATGAACATATGCAGGGCCATTAAAAATCACTGAGCTAGATAGATAAGAGAGCCAGCGCCATCTAAGGTAAGTATTAGAAATAATGAACAGGAATTAAGTTCAAACAGACCCAGGAATCAAAGCCAATAGCAGGAAATAATATCAATAACTTAGTGCATGAATGTTCAAAGTTATAGTGGTGATCATTGACCATACAGCATGGTCTGAGTACTAAGACACATTAACCAAGATAGTTTTACAGACTCTATTAAATGTATGACTCACTTCCGGGACTTCTGTTTTCAAAATATGGACAGTGACTCTTGCCTTAAGATGACATTGAAGATCCATGACATTAAATCCCTTGAAAGTCTTTTTATTCTGTTGGCCAAGTGAGGTCTGGACCTTCATAAGGAGACAATGAAATAGGCCTCTGAAGCAAAGGAGTTTACAGTTATCACACAAGCTCCCAGAGTCCTTTCAAGGCAATGAGGAGTTAGATTTTGTCACGATGCTAGTAGAAATTCTGCATATCCTAAATGCTTTATTTTGTTTCAAAGATGACTATTGTGGTCCTAATCAAGATGGTGCTGGGTGGACATGATCTTCCAGAATCCAGAAAATGGTGATATTCTTTGTACCATCATGTATAGAAGTGAGAACAATGACAGCATGGGTCCTATATGTTGTCTTCTGGACAGAATAGAGGCTATGAGAGTGAGGTCAATAGTATACTCCTCCTTTGTAAAGGTGCTTGTCAGTGACTTGTGTCTACAGTCATGTGTTGTATTTCATCCACAGAAATATATTCAGACAGACTGAACTATGAAGTATTTTAAGAATCAACGGCTTATGGTAGATACCATGCTTCTGTGTATGAATGGAGGTAAGTGCAAAAAGTAAAAACTGTAGGTATTTAGAACTTTTATTACAGCTATAGACAAATGAGAGAGATAAATAAGGAGACAGGCTGACTGCTGAGGAAAGGTTCCTAGGGAGGTCAATCTTCAGTGGACTCACTGTGATTCACACTGTGGTGCTAACTTTGCATAGTGAGACTATTTTTTTCCCAGTGTGCTCAGCGATTTTTGAAATCAGGAATATCTGTGCTGTTTAAACCTACAAGAAACTGATGTATAAGACAACCACTAATTTATTTATTTATAATGAGAATTGACTGCTAAATAGGCTATATTACTCATGTCAGTTGATTAGTAAGTTTTCTCCCCTAACAAAGTTTATATGGGAAAATAATTATAATCAGATTACTTGGAGAGCATGGAGTCAGAGCAATGGGCGTGAAGTGACCATCTTAATGGCTAATGACTCAAATTGGGATGGCTTGGTGACACCTTATTGCAAAGGTGGGCATGCCAAATTGTCTGCTGGTCAACATCTGTTCTCTGATTCTAGAAAGATTACTGAAATCTTATGTTTCTTCAATTGCTTCCTTTTCTATGCTCTATGCATACTATTATCTTGTTAAAAATTCCTTCTTCAGACTTATCATAAAATAATTAGATTTTATCTTGATGGGTGACATCAATCATGTAGCAGATCTGCCTCTCTGAAACTAGAACCATGATTGGACCTGGGGGTTCCTCAAGTTTTAGCAGTTGATGACTACATCTTTGAGTAGGTCATTTATCATCTGTTCTCTGAATTCTAATTAGTTTCACTCTAAGAGAAATTCATGTAATCATAAGTTCTGAGAATATACCCTTATAACATTCTTTATGTTAAATAATGAGTCACTCTAGTTGAAGTGGATGGTGTACAGTGGATAGTGTCACTATATCAAGATTTTGAAGTGGTAAAATGCCTAGCTAGTAGTCAGTAAAGCATTGTCCCAGCAGCCCACTCATACACTTTGTCTAGTTGTTGGATTATATTACATGGTGTAGAGGTCTTTGACTAAGAATATTACAACAAGGAGCCTCCAGCATTGAAAAACAAGCTGAAGTTCATAGCCTTGGTTTGATTATCTTTTCTGAGAGGCTATGAAGTCTGAAGATTTCTAGGAAAGGAAAGTAATATTATTGTAAAAGAAAAGTCAACAGGAAATAAAGTGACATATTTGTGAGAGAATCCACAATGATGAATTGTGGCCCTAAGGTAAGGAAACACTAGTAATCAAGTCAATGGAATGCTCCTGTTCGCATTCCAGGACAATACTGGGATTGGTAAGGAGAGTGATAGACACCAGTGTATTAGTCCTTTATTATAGAATCTGTGGAGATAGATTAAGATACCTACAGGTAATTTCAGAGTCACTTTAAGTTAAAATAGAGCTACTTGATAGAGAATTTCATACAATCTCATTATTGTAATGGGGATTTATTGGCCTAGCTGGAATATGTGCACTTGAATCTCTTTTGGTGGGAGCGTACGACATAATGTGGATGTATTGTGAGCTATTGTTAAATTAGTGAGGCACCAATGGGGGAAAAGTTCTGTTTGTTGGTGCTACAGAATGAGAGTAATAAAGTACTAACTGGGTTTAAGCATTGGCAAAATGAGCACAATTCTCCATAAACAAAGTTAAAGTACAATGGTATTTCATGTCCCAAGAGGCCTTGATGACTGCTAAATAATATGTGATTACTGATAGTTCTTCAGAAGATGCATTATGTGGACATACATCACCAAGAAGCAGGGAACAAAGGACTGGTAATTGCCAGCAAATGCCAATCATCACTGGATATTCTTAAAATTTTAGGGAATGGTGCCTTTCCAGAACAAAACTACTTTTTTTCAGAAGCATGAGGAATCTATACACAGAGCTGATGTATGTCAGGAGTACAACACAAGCAATCAAACCACCACTTCTTGATTTTTGTGCACAGATGGTGTTAATTAATGCATGCACTCCCCCCAACTTTTTGTGCACAGATGGTGTTAATTAACATATGTGCCCCCCAGTTTTTAGATGAGGTGGTTCATAAACTTGTTTGCCATTCATTGCTTTCCAAGATTCTCATTTAGATGAGGGTCACCACAGGTGGTTCATAAGGGTAGAGCTCAATAGCAATGGGTAGTGATCCTGGATTGTAATCACGTTGAGGTCCCTGGAGTCAGGAACTACTGCAGGGCCTGGCCCTCAGTCATTAGTGGAGATTTATTTAGCGAGGATCTCTGTCCAAGGCAGCAAGGACATGTTGCAGATACAGTAATTATGATAGGACATTTTCCCCAACTCTCACTAAATGTATTATTATCCTAGAACAGCTTGACTTGTCCATAAGACATGCTGGAACCTCAAGTAGGTTGTTGGGGAAGAGAGGAATAAGCTGGGCTTGATAGGGCTTGCCAAAAACCATATACATGCCTGAAAGGCTAGCACTCAGAGAAAGGGCTCAACAGTTTCAAGCAGAGTGTTCAAATGGCCATGCAATCTGGCTTGTCAATAGCAAAGAGGTTCTGTTTGTTGGACAAGCAGGATTTTTTAACATTGTAACAAAATACATAGCTGTATAGAAGAGTGGCACAGCTGCTGTAGAATATTAGCAGACTATGAGAATGCAAGTAGGACTTCAGCCAAAGGTCATAAACCAACAGGGAACTAGGATACAGACCAATGAGGAAGAAGGCAAAAGGCTTGAGTTCAATCCTAGGCACACAAGATACACAACTTGGGTCAACAATCAACCCAGATATCACCCATTGATGGGGATGTGGCTCTCAACGCACTGCCAGAGTTATTTTCATTGGCTCAGACTGGGCAAAGTTTTTCCTGCAAAGATTCAGTGCTCTTAGGGAAATTGGTCCCAATTGCAGAAAGTGCCTGTAAGTTGTTTTCATCATTGTTGAGTCATATTTGGTGTTGCCAATGAACAAGATCTTGTTGTTTAAATTCCCCGAAGAACATCAGTTCATGACTGCCTGTAAAGTGGTATTGCAGTTCCCCATCTGTATTTTAAAAGTTGGTGCGGGATATAAATCAATAAGGCTGGGCATGAGAGGGAAATAAGTTTACAAATAACTTTCCTGGGTTCCTCTACTGGTGAGCTATATCATTTGTTCTTGCTGGGGCTCGAGAACGTTTAGCAAGGCAATCTCTTGTAAAGTGACCAGCCTGGCTGCAGTAGAGGCACAGTTGATTTTCTTGCTGGCGGGCTCGTTTGGCTGGGGTGAGAGGCATCTGACCTCCCCGCAGCAGTATAGGCTCTTCCTTGTGTGGTGGTCCTGAGGGGCTGGAGAGGGCACGGTGGTGGATCGGGGAAGCCAACATTGGGAGCTGAGTGTGTGGCTGTAGGAGTTCTGGTCTGTTACTATGTTTCTTGTCCAACTGAATGCATTGAGTGATTAGGTCTGGGAGGTTGTCCATGTTATCTGTGACACTCTCTTCATCCTGTATGGGGTCAGCTAGTCCCTTTTGGAACTGCTCACCCTGATTGGTTTCATTACAGCTCAGATTTTGAGCAAAAAGCTTGAAAGTACTGGCGTCCTGTTGAGAGTTGTCCCCTTTGTCGACTGTCTTATTCATCATAGGGCTCATTTTTTGTTTTGTGGGTTCACCAAATGACTGCTGGAACTCAAGAACAAAGTTTTCACATTGCTTAAGCAAAGTGCTCTGGTCAGGCCCTGATACAACCCCACAACTTTCCAGCTGCTGAGACAGGTAGTCAAAAAAGAGCTTGACATGGGCATCATGTTCAGGATTGGAGATCTGAAGAGCTGTCATATAAGTAGTCACCTGAGCAAGGAACCCAGAAAGACTGGCAGGGTCACCATGAAAGTGGGTGAGATGCTCAAGTGAGAAGGGTACAGGCATCACTGGGATGGCCAGGGCAGGCATGACTTGGCCCCTCAGAGCAGAGTTCTCCCTGATTGGATGTTGCATTTGTGACTGCAGAATCGGATTCTCTGCATTTGTGACTGCAGAATCGGAAGATTCTACCTGCAAGGTAGTTGGTGATTCTGTGCACTTATCCATTATATTTCCTGGAATCAGCTGAGACTGAGTAGAATTGAATAACAGTGCTAGAGACCAGTGGACAGACAGTGGGTTTGCTCTGTGATCAGAGAAGCAGTTTCATAAGCAAGTAGTCAAAGCTGTTAGTCATAAAGATACTAGGAAATGCTGAATTGGAGAGATGCCAAAAAGTATTGTCCTCTACTCAATGTTGCCACTTCTTCAGGAAGAATGCCAATGTTCTGTACATTTAGAAGAAATAAATTACCTTAAAACATATAAAAATTTGAATTAAGAAGATGTATACAACGGTCACAGTATTTTTCCCTCCTCCCTCCCTCTCTTTGTAATATATCGTCGATTTCCCCTCAGATTAAGCTTTGGTTCTAAGGTATCTTTTTTTAAAATCAGAGAATGAAATAATTTTACAACCAAAAGTGATCTTAGAAAGCATCTAGACCAAATTAGTAATTTTGCAAATGAGAAAACAGAGATTCCAGAGAGGTGATGATGTTTGCCCAAAGTCACACAGCTAGTTAACATCACAGCTGGCATGCTCATCAGAGTTGCTGTCCAAAACAACCCTCCCTCCAGGTCCACACATGTGCTAATTTGTGGGCATAATGATGGTTCATGCCCCTGGCTCCTCAAAATGTAATCTGGGAACAAGCAGCATTGGCACCACCAGGGAAGTTGTCAGAAATGCAAAATCTTGGGTCACAACCCAGACCTACTGAATCAGTTGTCACACTTTAACAAGATTCATAAATTTCACAGCAACCTGGATGGAACTAGAGTTTATAATACTGAGTGATCTCTCACAGAAACAAAGATCTGAGTATCACGTGTTCTCACTCATAAGTGGACCTTGAACATCTATTGTAATACTATAAGAAAAAGATTGACAGTGGCAGGAAACTATTGGGGGGGCAGAGAGGGGAAGGGAGGTGGGATTAACGGTAGTCAATATCTCTCTGGGGATGGGGGGACATCCCTTATCAACAAGGGTGTCTGAACGATGCATATTTGTATACCTAACCCTTAACTGTACCCCACAATTTTAAAATAAAAAATGTTTAATAAAAAAAATTCCTAAGGTGATTAGAAATGTGCATTAAAGTTAGAGAATTTCTGCTTTAGAGAGCACTTAGCTTGAATTAGAACAGTAACTGGTTGGACCTGACCCTCAGTGTTCCAAGCGGAACCTGCATTGCTGTGGGGATCTGATTGTTGTGATGGTAATTACCTTTTTTTTTTTTTTTTTCCTGTCTTTCTAGTCTTTGTCTGAGGTCACATTTTGTTGCCAGAGAAATGAGTAAGACATCACAGGCAAGATGAAGGGGTAAGGTTAGGGACCTAGCAAAGAAGGGCTGACTATTCTTAAAAGTAAAAAGATAAAAATGTTCAGCAGTCTTTCCTGCATTAATAACAAAAATAAAGCAATCAGTAAAAGTTAAAAAACAACCCTCAAACATATGGCATAGCAGATAAACTATTCTGCACTTCAACTCCTCTTATTGCCCTTTCTTTGTGTAGCATACAATTTAAATGTATTTAAATTGTCTATTGGTGGACAAAAATGTGTAAAATTGAAACTTTTAACATGTAAGACTTGATTCTCTAGGTTTTGATGGATCTTTCTTTCTAGACCTAGGGAAAAATTTATTGGAAGACAAATAGTGTAAGACTGGAAGGCAGAAACTCTAATCCAAGCACTAACATTAATCAGTTGCATGACGTTGAAGGACTCATTCTGATCTCAGTTTCCTTTTTTATCTGATGAAGATGACTATCTGGTCTACGTCAGAGAGTTGCTGTATCAATGAGATAAAAAATAGATGCTCTGAGGGGCAAAAAAAGGAAATATTTACTTTCAAATTTGTTCTAACGCAGCTGAAAAATGCCCAGTAATGAGGATCTACCTGTATCCCATATTGCCAAATTAGGGAAATACTGTCATAACCTCTTTTCTATCTTCCTTTCCATATGGCACCTTTTGAATCTCCTGATATACCTTCCAGACATCTTACACTTCCCAGGTGCCCATCCATAAATTCCCTGTTGCCATTCTAGCTAGGTGTCAATTGATAGCTAAGATGTTAGTCAATAACCATTAATGATTGGCCTTTCTCAGGGAATTTACTTTTTTTAACAGTACTTTGAGTTGCTACTTTATCAGGGCATTCACTTTTTACTCAAGCTTGAATGTGCATAACAATCAACTCAGTCTCAGTCCCTAGGAATTCTGATACAGTAGGTCTGAGGTGGATTCCAGGCATTTGTATTTTAACAAGTTGGGCAGTTTATTTCTGATGCAGGTGGTGCCAGTGCAGAACACTGTCCAGATGACCCTCAAGGAGTAAAGTCATATTAAAATCACAGAGATGTAGGGATGAAAAGGTGACAAATTTGGAGGCTTTGTCACTCAAATGATATAGAATGGATGGTACCCTATTCTACCTCCACATAAAGCCCACAAAGAGCCCACACAGTCAGTCACCAACAGCTCATCTCTTGCAGGTTGTAGGTTCAAGAGGCAGATCAACATGGGTCCAAATAATGACTTGATCAAAAGCTTAACCTCTTTGAGAATCGGTTTCCATACTTTAATATGAGCATGATTATAATACCTACTTCATGGTGCTATGAAGATTAAATGAGATGAAAACAGATTAGCATAGCTTCATGCATATGACAAATGCTTTATAAATGATAGCTTTCATTATTCTAGGTCTACAGTTTTTCATCTGACTGTGCTTTAGAATTTAATCTTTTCCAGATTTTAGAGAGGTAATATGGAGTACATACTGTTTACTACATAACATCTTTAGCAGTGTCTGGGGAAATATCCCATAATTAAGCCATTAATATTCCTAAAGGAAAAAAATGTCTGAATATTCATACTAAGAAGGATAAAGACTAAGTTCACATCAACTCAGGTCAAGTTTTGCTACCAAATGAGTTTTGGCACCAAATTAATGAAAAAAAATACTTGCAGTTTATAGAGCTTTCTAATTTCAGAATTAAGGTAGGAGATTGTGGACCTCTACTAAACTCTTCCTTTGATTGAAAGGGTATGATTATAACTTTTCTTTCCTTGTTCCTGCCTTCTTCCCTTTCCCTCCATTCTTAGAAATTCCAGAATCTCTTTGAAGTCTCCTGTTTCTTTACAGAATTATGTATTCAAGGTGGCACAGCATTTAATTTCCCTAATTATGTAGCACTGGTGAAACACTTACTAAAATCATAAGCTTTAGTCCAAATGCAAATCATATGACAGTACTGTTGTCAATAGCATTTGCTTAGTCTCTCAAATAAAATCTACCTTGACTTACCATTTTATCATTTTCGAAATTGCTCTCCTTTTAGACACCAGTGGCTCTCTGTTGGATTATTCCAGAGGATCCTGAGGTACAGCCTGCCAGTCTGGAGGAATTATAGACCATAGCCTTGAAGAGACAAAGCAGAGAAAGAGCTAGAACCTCAAGTACACAGACTTGGGGGACGGGAGTCAGACTTGTGAGCTCAGATCAGGTTTGAAATCAATCTTATCCCAAATAGTTATAAAATAAGCCCTTTAAATTTGAAATGAAACGTCTTTTCCTGTATATGTGTTCCCTGCTGTCTCTTTCATATTTAATTCATTAAGTGCAATTCACTTAGTGTTGAACATTACTTGCAACTAATGAGTTGACAGAACCTAGCCCACTTTGTTTAAACTTTTTCCACTGCTTTGTCCCTGTTGTACACAGGCAACTTGTGGACCTGCTCAAGGTGGAGAAAGCTTAATATAAGCAACTTAGTATACATATTTTTTCTCATTACAAGAAGCCTCCTAAAAGTCTCAGATTAAAGTTCCAGCTTTACAGATGAAGAATTTGAGGCTCGGGAAATGGAAAAATATTCAGTTTATTGACTCTCTGTGCTAAGGTCCAATCCCAGACTCTTTTTTTTTTTTAAGAAAAAAGAAAAGTTCATTTAAAAGTAAATTAAAGAGAGAAAGAGAAGGGGGAGAGAAGATTCACCTCCCCAAGGTGGGGGAGGGGACCTTGGTTAGCTTTTCTCTTCTCTTTATGTCTTGGGTATGAGTGAACGAGCAGTACAGGGATTATAGAGTATGGTGCAGAAGCAACCTTACAATGTCATTCAGTAATCAGTAACATCCTACACAAGTGCCGAGCATTTTATGTGATTTGAGTATTTTCCTACAGTTTCATTTATCCTTTCAATAAGATGCGAAGTAGGCAAGGCATGCATTCATTGCCTCTCTAGCAAATAAATAAAGAGTTTTATAAGAAATACAATTATTTAGTATTAGATTTGGGACTAGAATCCTCAACACTTGCTTCTAACACCATTATGTTCTGGAAGTAGTTTGAATTAGTAGAAAAAGATCATGGACTTTGGAGTTAGATGGAAATTGGATTAAAATTGCACTCTGAAATCACAACCCAGCCTTTGAGACCTTATGCAAGTTAGCTCTCTGAGCCTTAGTTTTCATATTTGTAAAATCTGTATTGCAAAAAACTACATGTATTTACATACAATTGAGATAATATATGTTAAATTCCTGGCATCAAGCAGATATCAACAACAGAAGCTGGTAATAGCATCATATTTTCTACAGACACTGGAAGATTACTAACCAGATATCTTTGTCACTAGCTCTAGTTTCAATCTGTTGTTCAATCCATGTTTTTAGGCTGGAAGTGATTCTACCCAAGTCTCTTGGTATGGACAAGTGGCTTAAACTAAGCCACTTAACATATTATTTGACTTAGTGTTTCTTCTTTGCAACACTAATATCACTTGAAATTAATTATTATATGCTCTTTTTCCCTGTTAGACTGTGAGCTACATCAATATGGGAATTATCCCATTTTATTTCTGTATCCCCAGGGCTAAATATACTTCCTTATACATGTAGATGCTCAGTAACTCTTTCTTGAAATTATAAGATCTGCCCATGGCATTCATAGTTAGAAATAAATATTAGCAGAGGTAGTTTTACTGTTCCCCAC